TCCAAAGCAAATAAATAACTGGTCGGACTTCCTCATAGACGATGTCCGATGAACATAAGTATCCAGTGCTCGCACTGGACACAAGAGGTTCAGCCTTTCCTGGTCCGCAGATGTAAAAGGAGGAGGACAGAAAGCCTGCAGCACGATAGGCCTCGGAATCAAGGTCGGCACCTTAGGGACGTATCCCTGTTTTGGATATAAGAACGCCTTGACCATCCCCGGTGCAAATTCAAGGCAAGTGGGGGAAACCGAAAGGGCCTGAAGGTCTCCAACTCTCTTAAGGGACGAAATAGCTAGCAGAAAGATAGACTTAAGGGTAAGAAATTTCTCTGAAACCGAATCTAAGGGCTCGAATGGAGCCCTAGACAGGCCTTCTAGTACTATTGCCAAATCCCAAGCTGGCACCCTAGTGCGAGTTGCAGGCCTCAGCCTCAATGTGCCACGAAGGAAACGTGTAATCAGGGGGTCTCGACCCAACGATGTACCCCCAACCAGGGCGTGGTAAGCCGCAATGGCCGCCACGTAAACCTTAAGTGTGGAAGGACATAAACCTGACGTAAAGCGCTCCTGCAAGAACTCGAGTACTGTGTTCACAGAACAGTTAACCGGATCCCACTGATGTCGGTGACACCATACAGAAAAAACTTTCCATTTCAGCGCATATAGTTTCCTAGTAGCTGGAGCTCTGGAGCTTAGGATGGTCTCAGCAGCCTCAGCTGAGAGACCACTCTCTATGAGTTGGGCCCCCTCAGAGGCCAAACCCACAGGTTCCAAATCTCTGGTCGAGGGTGAAATATTGTGCCCCCGGCCTGAGACAGAAGGTCTCTCCTGATCGGGATCTCCAAGGGAGGACCGTCTAAGAGATGGATCAGGTCCGCAAACCAGATCCGACTCGGCCAGCGTGGTGCTACAAGCAGTAGGCTTATTCCGTACTGGCGGACTCGTTCCAGAACTCCTGGGAGCAGAGCAACAGGGGGAAATGCGTACAGACGTAGCCTCGGCCACGTCTGCACCATAGCATCCAGCCCCAGGGGGGCTGGGTGAGTAAGGGAGAACCAAAGTGGACAGTGCGTCGTGTGCTGAGACGCAAACAGATCCACCTCTGCTTGGCCGTAAAACTCCCAAATTTTTTCCACCGCCTCGGGGTGGAGTCTCCAGTCCCCTGGCCTCAGCTCCTGCCTCGACAGGATGTCTGCCCCCACATTCTGGTCCCCAGGAATATACACTGCCCTCAGGGAGAGTACCTTCCCCAGAGACCACAGGAGGATCTGGTGCGCCAGTTTGCAGAGCGGACGCGACCGCAGACCCCCCTGACGGTTCAGATAAGAGACCACTGATGTGTTGTCTGTTCGTACAAGCACATGATGGCCCCTCAGGTCTGGGAGAAACTGTCTCAACGCATTGAAGACAGCCATCATCTCCAGGCAATTGATGTGCCACGAAAGATGATGACTTTTCCACAGACCCTGAACCGAGCGGCCTTCCATTACCGCTCCCCAGCCGGTGAGGGAAGCATCTGTCGAGATCGTAACTCGATGGCAGAGAGCTCCCAACACCGGACCCTGGGTTAAGAACCAGTGTTTTTTCCATATAACCAAGGCACGAAGGCATCGCCGCGTGATCTTGATCATACGAAGTGGGTTTCCCCTCGGGGAGAACCCCCTGGTCCTGAGCCACCACTGCAAAGGTCTCATGTACAGCAGGCCAAAAGGAATCACGTTGGACGCTGCCGCCAAGAGACCCAACAGTCTCTCGAACTGTTTCACAGTGCGTGACTGGCCTAGCTTTAGCTCTTTGGTGGCTGTCAGGATAGCAGCTACACGAACGGGCGATAGAGTGGCCCGCATCGTCACTGAATCCCATACCACACCAAGGAAAGTGGTTCTCTGTACTGGAGAAAGAACACTCTTCTTGGCGTTGAGCCTCAACCCCAACATCTGCATATGGGCGAGAACGACACCTCGGTGCCGAACCGCCAACTGCTCTGATTCCGCCAGAATCAGCCAGTCGTCGATGTAGTTCAGAATACGTATGCCCTGAAGCCTGAGAGGGGCTAGAGCTGCATCCACGCATTTCGTGAACGTGCGGGGTGATAAAGCTAGACCGAAAGGAAGAACCCGATATTGGTATTCTTTGCCCCCGAAAGAAAACCTTAGGAACTTCCTGTGCTGAGGGAGGATGGAGACATGGAAGTAGGCGTCCTTCAGATCTATCGTGACAAACCAGTCCTCGGATCTGATTTGAGTCACGATCTGTTTGAGTGTTAGCATCTTGAACTTGAGTTTCTGTACTGAACGATTCAACAGACGAAGATCTAAAATGGGACGCAACCCCCCATCCTTTTTTGGAACAATGAAATAACGGCTGTAAAAACCCGACTCTCTGTCGGGTGAGTACACCTGTTCTATAGCTTCCTTTGCTAACAGGGCCTTTACCTCTTGCTCCATTACCAGAGCCTGCTCGGGATGCACCACTGTGGGCAGCACCCCGTTGTAACGAG